CATGCCTAGCTTATAGTGTTAAATATGTACTGCGAAACTCCCACCTATTCTCCAAAGTTGTAGAAGATTCTCGAGAGTAAGAATCAAAAGTACATGTTTGTACGTAAACGCTTTAATTTGCATTGTTGCGTAATCTGAATTTTCTAGAAAATCTTCCCACGCCTATAAATATAACGCGCCGATAAGAGTATCTATTATTAGTTTGCTATAGTCAGTGTGCTATAAATCTCGGAAGCTATAACTGTGATTGTTATAACGCTTATCAATCGGAAAACTTCAGATATTTGACCAGGAACATTTATAAATTTCGAACATTACAAATTTATTAATTTCAGTTGATTCACATCGGACATTAATAATTTTTACGAAAACATTACTTAACTTCAACGGTGGAAAACTCAGCGTGTGTGGTAAAGGACAAAGCTAGCTAACTTCCCGTTAAGCGAATCGTATCTACATCAACTCGTAATTAACTCGCTCATCGTGAACCCTCGACGAGATATCAAAGAAGTCCCAGACTAGAAAGAAGAATGTATATTGTTTGTAAATTTGTTTCTAAATCATTGTTTGTAATAAGTATTTGTAATAATTGTTATTGTAAATTGTACTGTTGTGTGTATATTAAAACGTGTTTGTGTTAAAAAAGAAAACTGTGTGTATCAATCTTGTTGGCAAATATTATAAACTGACTGTATATCGGCATATATTTAAATACTAAATCCAAAGTATAATTTAACTACTAAATTTAAATTATCAGTTAACTCAATTTTAGGCTATTTGAAATTCTAATACGTAACATAACTTAAAAAGCCCCTGTACTTGAATCCTAAAGAAGTCTCTGTCCTGGGTGCTTAATCTACGTGCGCATGAGATGTCGTTCAGGTTGCAAATTTTAATTTTGGAAACCAGCAACTGAAATATATTTAAAACACAGTCGGATACAAGAAAATAAGCTCATAATCGACACGCTTTAAATACTACATTCCTGAAAGCTACTTTTGAAATAATTGTATCTGTACTAGAATGTCAATACGAGTTATGAAGTGCAAAATGTAAAGTTGCCGAGGAAGTGATTCATAATTAACTTATTTTATCATACAAATGAATTCTCAGCCTATATTTGTATTAGCATGTATACGTCTATAATTTTCATATATAATAATTTTTACACACTTTACTACAATAATGAGATATGATAATAAGTTTATTGCATTCAACAGTGGTATATTCTTTGATAAGTTTAACAGTGCTATATATATGTATATACATATATATATTATTTGATACATTTAACAGTGCTACCAAAAATCATTGTTACGTTGCCCTTAAAATTATCCTTTAAAGTCAAATACATTTCAATAACATAAAACGCTTATGATTACAACAGAAAGCTTTATTTACAAACAGTGGATGAAGATAGGGAAACTCCGTCATAAGCCCTGAATTCTGTATGAAACCAGTCAATGATAGTTCCTTTGATTTCTTCATCTTTGTAACAGCAAGGACTAGAATTGCAGGCCCGGCTAAGACAGGAGCTGGTGCGTTGAATTTGATCGTTGTTCAAACAGGTATTCCAAAAATGGAGCTGCATTAGATCGCCAATTAAACTCTGATGAGGGCTAAACTTACCACCAACTTTATCTTGTTCCTGGCCCAGAACTACAACTCCTCCTGATCGAACTGATTTTCCCATTGCTACACCTTTTACCTCATCACAACATAAATCTGTGTCTACAAAAAAGCCTACTCTTCCATCCAAACTCCGCCAGGTAATACAAACTTTGTGCCATGTTCCGATAGAGAAGGCAGGACATGTCATAAAACCCAGCTTTCCAGCTACAAAGATCTTAATTTGTGGATCTGAAGAGGTCAAGTCGATGTATGCTACGATTTCGTTGCTGTCAATATTTTTGCCGACTGCGTAGGAAAAGATGAAGTGCGACCTTTTCACTGCATCAGTTATCTTCACCCAGAAGCACAGTGTAAACTCGTCCATATCTGGAAGGGATCGGACCACCATTAAACGAGGATAATTTAACCATGTTGATGGGTAAAACGTGGCTTTCGTACCATATTCTCCCTTTCTCAGACCGTCCACCAATGAAGGAGCCGAAACACAGATCAGAATTAGGACAAAAATACTCCACATTTTGAGCTTGGTCAGACAATGTTCAGATCAGCGGATGGACCAGGACACGTTGACCTGGTGATTTTGTGTCCTTCCTGACGATTTCTCCGAACTCATTAATTTACGTTCTTATATATCTCATAAACTGTAATGCACCTGTTTAAACAACCAATAGAGAAGAGTGAAATGACGTGAAACGTTGACTTAATGTTTTTCGTAATAGCAGATGGAACAGGTGTTTTAATTATTTTGGTAAAAATCACGTGATCATTTATAAAACCTAACTGAAGCAGATGCCTATAGTTCAACGCAGATGATATATAGGTAAAACAAGAAAGTGGACCTGGTTGAATCCTTTAAATAATTGTTAACTTTACATAGTTTCACACAATGATAATAAAGGAATGGTTAATTACGTTTTGAAAGAAAACATTTGGTTACAATACACATAATTTAACAAAATCAACCCTACAGAACGTTTCAGTTCAACAGTCAGGACAAGTTATATTGGTCGAAGTTTTTATGTCCCTACCATAGTTTGGATCATATATTGCCAGTTATTCATCTCTCAGGTATGCACATTATATACATCTAACTCATATTAACGACAGACTTAAATAGAATTAATGTGGATAAGTTTCTGTTACTCAAAAAAGTAGTAAACACAATTCAATAATTTACTCTTTCACTCGTAGTTCTTTTGGTGGTGGGGGGGGGGTATTTACAGTGGTTCATTCATTATGAATATATCTCAATGAGAAATATAGAATCTGACAGAAAAAAAGGCCTAAGCTTTCTTCTGGTGACCGTATTTTTGAAGACCAATAATAAATAACTTGTAATTTGTTTCGATTTTGTAAAATGCATCAGTTGATGTTACTATTAAGAAGACTATTCTAACTAGCTTAAAGATACCCCAAAATCTTTATTAATTTTGGGTAGTGGAAAACTTATGGAAAACTTACAAACTTCCATCAAAATTATTTCATGATCATCAAAAACATTTAATGAATGCGATATTACATAATTTTAAGACTTTAATATATGTATATATCTTTAATACCACACTGCTCAAAACTATTGATCAGTTTGAAGTAGCTTTGTAAGGTCACACGTTACTTTTTTAAAGCTTCAGTTAAACTGAAACGTCACAACTTATTTATTATGGGATTTCAGAACTATTTGCACCAGAAGTTTTAGTTTTGTTTTTTCTTATCAGATTGGCCATTTTGGATTTCAAAACTATTTGCACCAGGAGTTTTAGGTTCGTTTTTTCTTATCAGATTGGCCATTTTGGATTTCAAAACTATTTGCACCAGGAGTTTTAGGTTCGTTTTTTTCTTATCAGATTGGCCATTTTGGATTTCAAAACTATTTGCCCAGAAGTTTTAGGTTCGTTTTTTCTTATCAGATTGGCCATTTTGGATTTCAAAACTGTTTGCACCAGAAGTTTTAGGTTCGTTTTTTCTTATCAGAATGACCATTTTTATTGAGATACATATGGATAAATGAGTATTCTAGAATAATTTCGAATACTCTCCAGTCAGGTGCATGGTTCACTTCGCGCTTCTTACTTTGGGGTTGCAGTCAGAGTCAGATATCCCTTAAGTAACTTCATGTGAAAATCTGAAAACAAAAAGATTAAAAGTGTGTCTATTTTAAGCATGACAAGTTAGGCACACCTTCAACAGATCATAACGTGCACACTTCGTGAAATTTGAGACAAATAATCGCAAAACTTAAACCAGTAGAAAAGCGACTGAGGAAGTTCAGTGTTTCTAGTTATCTTTATCGGGATCAACTTTTCCGTTGGTTTCGGGAACACAGTTGAAAGGTCAAGAGAAACAAGAAATTCATAGTGGACCTGAAACTAAATGAGTCTAGAATATGCTATACAGGCAACTGAAGGAAAAAGAAGATGAATTAATGTTACAGTATGGATTATAACTTGAATGTCACCATATAACCATTAAAGTAAGATGGATTAGGGATACAGTACGGCTTCTAACTGGATTTTATTGTATAACCATTAAAGTAAGATGGATTAGTGATCAGTATGGCTTCTAGCTTGAGTGTTATTGTACAACCATTAAAGTAAGATGGATTAGTGATACAGTACGGCTTCTAGCTTGAGTGTTATTGTACAACCATTAAAGTAAGATGGATTAGTGATACAGTACGGCTTCTAAATTGAATGTCACTGTACAACCATTGAAGTAAGATGGACTAGTGATACAGTACGGCTTCTAAATTGAATGTCACTGTACAACCATTGAAGTAAGATGGACTAGTGATACAGTACGGCTTCTAAATTGAATGTCACTGTACAACCATTGAAGTAAGATGGATTAGTGATACAGTATGATTTCTTACATAAGTGTCACAGTACAACCATTAACGTTATTGGAAACCAATAATGTTCAGTTTGAAAGTTGATTTTACTTTGTGAACAAGTAGTTTACCCGACATTTTCACTATTTTACAGAGGTATTGTTTTTCTCTGAACGATTATCTTGCAAAAGAATCACGTGTTTGAATGACATCTACGAAAGGTACAATAGATATGACAATAATAAGCTACATAGTTGTTTGATGTATTTGACACTAGTTGTAACCTGGAACATATTCAATTTATACGGTCAATCGTTACCAACAGAAAAAAAAATAAAGCTAAGTAACAGTCACAGCATTAACTATATCACTATTCAACCATTAGATCAAACCTCAACCAACTTTTAAACATAATAATTAGCTTCTAACAAAAAACATCGATCATCATGATGAACAACTAAAAGAATATAAACATTATATAGCCACTGGCGAATGTATCAATAAAACAGTTGCCAAAATGTTAATAAATTACTTACCAAAACTGACTATATCCGATGTATCGGTCAACACAAAAATAAAAAACAACTTTAAAAATTTTCAAAAAGTTAGCAAAAGCTATTTCAAACTCCTGTGGAAACTAATAACAGAAGCGCCGTGTAACGAATTATTAACGTTATAACCTAATTATCGTATGTAAAGCATAGTAAATAAGCTTTTGATAAAGTAATACTTAAACTCTGTATGTATTCAATAGCCAAATTGATAACTTAAACACCGTAAGGAGTCACTAGCCAAAATGACACTTTAAACACCGTAACTAATCACTAACCAAAATGATAACTTAAACACCGGAAGTAGTGACCAACTTTATTAAATTGAAATAATTACAGCATCATATAAGTAAGAAGATTAATAAAAATTATTATTAATTTAAAAAGGAGGAATAGGGATCGTTAAAAAGTACAGAAACAAGTTGAATAAAAATGCAAAGATTATATTTTCAAGCCTACAACTAGGGACTCTAAAAAAGTAAACAAACAAAGCTGAAATTAGTGTCTACATTATGTTCTGCCCCCCAGTGGCACAACGGTATGTCTGCGGACTTACAACGCTATAAACCGGGTTTCGATACCTGTGGTGGGCAGAGCACAGATAGCCCTTGTGTAGCTTTGTGCATAATTAAAAACAAACAAACAAACATTATGTTCTCAAGCTACAACTCCCTATTTTGACTCCACTAAATTTCATAAATACTGTAGATATGAAATCAAAATAGGGATTTTTAGCTAAATGAAATAACGTAGACACTAATTCCAGCCTTGTTTGTTTACTTTTTTTAAGAGTCCCTAGTTGTAGGCTTGAAAATATAATTCTAGCACTTTGATTCAATTTGTTTCCGTACATGTTTAACGATCCCTATTCCTCATTTTTATATTAGTAATTTTCACTAATCTTGTTTCTTAAGTATTGTCCATTTATGGAAAATAAATTTTAAGCTACATACGTGTATATGCGTTCAGTTGAATGTTACATGTTTTTCAACAATTTACTGCTGCATTGTCTTTTTCTTTCACCAAACCACCATACTGAACTCATTTAAAATAAATTACAAATGTTCAACAAAGAATAAACATATGTACTGGTATGCAACTACAACAAACAAAATGTAAAGTTGTTCTCAAAGGACCATCTTGAAGGCAAAGATTGTACCATCACAGATTTAATTACCGGGTTCCATCAATGTCACGGTGTAATGTAACAAAAAACGAGCAGGAAGTTAGAACAAAGCAATCTCATCAGGATAGAATAATGTTTCTTGTAGCTTAATACAACATAGATTAATGCAATGTAAACAGATGCAGTAACATGCTTTCCTTATTAAGTCTACATGACATATGTGCATGTTCTTCAACAGCCTGTTGTGCACAAGTGTTTGCTAGAACAAATAATGCATACAAAATAGACAACAGCGATACACTTAGCGTAAATAACCAATTGTCGACAACATTTACAACCACTACTTTAACACCGACTATTTCAAAATAGCAATAGCTGTATGACGTAGTGCTATATGCAGCCCCTCATCCCTGTGGCATAGCGGTATGCCTGCGGACTTACAACGCTAGAAACCGGTCTTCGTTACCCGTGGCGGGCAGAGCATAGATAGCCTATTGTGTAGCTTTGTACTTAACTTCAAACACACAAACAAAGCTATATGCAGTGGTAATAAATATTGAATACACACTCACGATTTTAGCTAAGTATAAGAAATAGTAGAAAGAATCACCACCGTGGTATGAGTAGGAAAATCTACTATGGTAATCGTCCAGTGTTTAAAACTTGCTAAAATCCACGTATAGACAGCAAACTTGAGTAACGATATGCAACAGAAAAATCGGAAACCTTTCACGTGGCAATTTCCAACTAATGGCTAGAAAAAGCACGAGTTGTAGTTTACAACTAACGCGCACGCTAGGAAAACACCAGCTTTTATGGTGGCGGAAAGTGAAAGACAAAATTAATGAAGTCGAATTAAGTTTAAAACTACTCTCTCAGTGTTTTGCAAAATTCCTTTTCAGTCTCACACTACAGTAGATATAACTTGAAATAATTTTATAGTGGAGTCATAACAGGGATTTGTAGCATGAGCAAACTGTCGGCAGTAGATCACCATCCTTGTTTCTTCACTT